CCATCGTCGTCGTCGTCGTCGCGCGAAACACCCTCGCCAGGCCGACGAACAGGTAGACGACGGCCTCGCGCGTGCCGTGCCGCTGGACGCGCGGCAGCAGGTCGAGCAGCCAGGTGACGACCTCGAGGGCGAGGGCGTCGCAGCAGCCGAGGGCGCGGTCCTGGTCGAGGGCGCAGCAGGCGAAGAGGGCGTGCTGGAAGAGGTCGAAGACGAGGGGCGGCTCGTCGCGGGGCGGGACGTTGGCGAGGAGGGCGCGCTGGCGGGCGAAGAGGGGGCTCGGGGGTGTGCCGGCGGCGGCGGCGGCGGTGCGCAGGGAGAGGGCTTCGACGTGGCGCATGACGAAGGTGAGGGCGGCGTGGAAGCCGGGGACGAAGAGGGCCGCAGGGATATCGTCGAGGTTGGGGGTGTAGTCTGCGAGGAAGGCCGGCAGGTCGAAGACGGCGCCGCGGCCTGCGCTGGGGGCGTTGCGGGTACGGGGCAGGAGGGCGACGAGGTGGTGGCGATCGACCAGGGCGCGTTCACCGGAGGGGAGGATGACGGTGCAGCGGGTTTGGAGGTGGGGATAGGCGAGCCGCCGGAGAGCGGCGTGGGCAGAGACGAGATGAGATGGGAGCTGGCTGTTATTGGGGTCACAAGCGTGCTGGTTCGAGAGGGCGAGGGGATGTCTGGCATCGTGGTCTGGGGGGTAGCTGTAATTATTGACGTTGACGGCAGGGCGGCCGTTTTCGAAGCGATGACAGGTATGAGGATCATGACGAAAGCTGCTATGATGGCCTGGGCCGCCAAAGGGTGAACGAAACATGGTGATGGTTCTCGTTCTTCCAGGCACTACTTGCTCTATGTCTTTGCCCTTCTCCCCCCTTTTTTTGCCCATTCACAGCAGTTCTCAAGAGTGGCATGGTTGGTGTCTTAAGAGGGCAGATCTCCGTTGTACGAACACATGTCGACGTTCTGATTGACAAACTACGAGAGGCATGAATCAGAACGGGACAAACTGGTCGTGATGATTCCATGACAATCGCCAGCACAGTAAACAAGAAGAGGCATCCGGCCTCAACACGCCTCCAACAGAAACACCGAAATATGGACACATGATCACAAAGCGGGCAAAATGAGAAGCATCAAGCCGCTGCCACGCAAAAGGAAACTCTCCCCGAGACAGGTTCGAACTGTCGATCTCCCGATTGATCTGTTGTTAACAGTCGGACGCCTTAACCAACTGGGCCACCAGGGACGATGTTGATTGGGTGAAGTTTTGTCGAGTCAAAACTGGATAAGAGGCCTTCGACTGGGACATCCACTGGAGCAAAAGAGAAAAGAGGTAGATGCTCCCCGAGACAGGATCGAACTGTCGATCTCCCGATTGCTCTGTTCATAACAGTCGGACGCCTTGACCAGCTGGGCCACCAGGGATGTGGGCAGCACAAAATCGGGAGCTTCATGAGGGCTTCGGGACGGAGACGAGCGAGATGAGGCGGCATGTGGGTTCTTGTCGAGACAGGGAGGAGGGCGAGGCTCCATCAAGCTCTCTACGTCGTGGTTCGTCTTGCGTGGATTGGGGCGGGCGAGGGCGCCTGCAGGAGGCAGCCGACGGCGGCGCTCGATAGCGCGCCATGGTCGGGGCTCAGTAGCACGGCGCGTGCCTTGCCGCCGCCGGTGAAGAGAAAGACAGCTGTGCCAATAGCGTGTAATGCAAATGTGCCAAATAGTGCAGAATGCCGACGGAGATAAGGGGTCATCGTAGACTCTTGTGCTGATGATTTGCAATGCTTCACTGTTTTTCCCAGGGTGACAAAACGCCAGTACGAACCTTGTTGAAGTCATGGCGTGGCAGCACTGCTATCTCCGTCCGCTGTGGAAACTCTGTGATGAGCTCCAAACCCTATGAGGCTGGGGTTGCTGGTGTGCCGCCCGGCTCTTGGTGGCCTGAATCAGCAAGACTATGACTGATGCTCTCGATATACGCAAACCGAGGCCTGGTAGTGCTCTTGGCGACTTTGAGGGCCTGCTTCTGAACAGCCATGACTGTCTGTTCCGAATCGTTCCGTTCGCGCTCCCACGTATTACCGGCGCCGACCGATGCATCGATATGACAGAGAAGATATGGACCGGTGATGGGGCCTTCATAATGTATGCTCCATCGGGATACTGGTTGCTGTTGTTGAGAAGAGGATCATGGACAACTGGGCCACTGGTAGGTACCTAATGTATGTGGATAGGCACCTGTAGGTAAGGTGCCGTAGGGCTAAACGAGCCCGTTCCGCAGTGTTTGAACCCCCCTTGACCCCGCATCGAGGTGCAGCGGCGGCGAGGTGCAGCGGCAGTCACTAGCGACTGTGCCTTCACTGTCCCTGCCGCCGCCTCGCCTGAAGCCATTGCATCTGCCAACAGCGCAGCATCAACTCGTGTCGAAAGTGTCTCTCATCGCCATCCTCATTACCATCACCATCCACCATCACCACCACCACCACTGCTCAAGTCATCAAACAACTGCACAAGCCTTTGGCAGCAAGCTACTCGCAAACACCCCCAAGCACCCCAGGCATCCAAGCATCCGCATCCCAGGCATCCGAGCACCCAGACACCAGACACCAGACACCAGACACCAGACACCAGACACCAGGCACCAGGCACCAGGCACCAGTCCTCATCGCTCAGACAGTCTGCCTTGCCAATCAGAGCCCACCAGCGACGCCCAAAATGCAGGCCTCAACAGGAGCTGAGCCGCCTCTTGGATCGGCCACCCGGCTGGTCGCGCTCTCGTTGTGGTATAATTAGCCTGGCCTCTCTCTCTCTCTCTCTCTCTCTCTCTCTCTCTCCGGCCTCTGCTTTCATCCAGACATGCCATCCTCTCCTACCACCACCGCCGCAGCAACACCCTGATTGAGGTCTCTCTTATCGAAGCAACACCCTGAACCAGGCCTCTGCCATCGAAGCAACACCTGATACAGGCCTCTGCCACCGAAGCAATACCCTGCTCCAGGTCTCTGCCACCCAAGCAATACCCGGCTCCAGGTCTCTGCCACCCAAGCAATACCCGGCTCCAGGTCTCTGCTCCACCGACCATGGACACCGCCCACAAGCAGGAGTACAAGGTCCGCGACCTGACGACACGCTCCGTCACCCTCTTTCCCTCGCGCGCCCAGGTCGTGCGCGAGCTCAAAGACGTCTCGCTCAAGGTATGCTGACGAACCCCGCCGTTTCCCTTCTCCCCCCCCCCCGCCTGCCTCGCCCCTCGCTGCCTGGCGGCCTCCTCCGTCCAGCCAACACACGCTAACACACGAAACGATAGCCCGGCGTCAACGAGATCACCGTCATCGGTCTCACGCCCACCGTCGACGAACACTCCATCAAGGTCGAGGGCACCGGCCTCGCCGTCATCTCCAACATCACCGTCGAGCTCCAGTCCAATCGAGACATCTACGAGGACATTTACCCCGACGCCGACCACGACAGCGACGAGACCTCAGACGATGAACAGATTCTAGAATCCGAACGGCCTCCCCAGGAGGAGGCCGCAAAGCTCAAACAGGTCCCCCCAGCAGCTTCGTGGCCCTTCCCATGAAAAAGAACCCGCGCCAAGGAATCCCCTGGCCAGGGCCGAGAACCCGCTCCAAGATCCTCGACGCCCTACGCAAGCACATTGGCGGAGGAGGATGGCACCGTCATTGTGGGGAAGGCTGGACAATATCCGGAGCGAGGCGCGAAAAAGGTATTTCGACGGACCACAATAAACGGTGTCAAGGACTCCCGCGACATTCTTCTCCGCATCGAAGGAAGCCACCAAGAGTCGAGACCCGCCTCGTCGCCGAAGCGGCCAAGGCCCAGCGCAAGGCCGTCAAGGCCTGGCTCAAGGCGCAGAAGACGAAGCAGACGGAGCAGACCAAGAAAGGACAGACGCAAGGCCGAGCAGCAGAAGGAAAGAGGTCCGCGTCCGCACCGAGCGCGAGAAGTTTTGGCCACGCCAGTGCTACGCCGTGTGCATCACCCTCGACGCCACCTCCTTCACCCCCATGTCGTCGCGGCGCAACTCCGTCTCCAGCGACCTCGTCAAGGTGCCCGTCGCGGGATCCGAGGATGCCGTCGACCCCTCCCAGTGGACATGCGACCTCGTCCTGAGCTACGTCACGACGGCCGCTTTCTGGTCCCCCAGCTATGATCTCCAGCTCTCGACGACGACCAACACGGCCACCCTCTGCTTCGACGCCCAGCTCACCAACAAGACGTCCGAGACCTGGAGCCACTGCAAGATTGTCCTCTCGACGTCCCAGGCCTCCTTCTCCGGCATGGCCGATGCCATCCCCACCCTCGCGCCCTGGCGCATCAAGCTCGCCACCCGGGGTACCGTCAGAGACAACTCGGCCCTGCTCGCGAGCCGCGAAGAGCTCCGCGAAAAGGAGTCGTGGCAGGCACAGCGCAAACAGCTGCCCCCACAGCAATCGCGCAATGCCCTCTTTGGCCGACCGCAGCAGAATCCCTGGGGAGCCAGCCATGGTTGGGGAGGACAGCAGCAGCAGCAGCAGCAGCAGCAGCAGCAGCAGCAGATGCAGCAGCAGCAACTACAACAACAGATGCAACAACAGCAACTACAACAACAGAGTCTGCAGAGCACTGCCACCGACGTGTTTGGTGCCCCCGAGGAGCTTCTCCGGAAGAAGGCAGCCAAGTCAGCCAACATGATGGCTGTCGCCTCATCCTCGTTTGCCCCCAATGCTCGATCTGCTTTCCCTCCGCCGCCCGCCCCGAGCGCTCCCGCTCCCGGAGGCGGTCCAGCGCTCCATGCGAGCGTGCCCACGAGCGGGGGGCTGTTTGGTGCGGGCGGAGGAGGATTCGGGAGCCACGCGAGCCGAGGCGGCGGACTGTTCGCTTCGAGGCCAGCAGACCTGGCCGATGACGAGACCGAAGTGAACGTTGATGTCGAACCCGAGCTCGATTTCGAAGAGTCCGCCATGGAGGAGACGGGCCTCACGACGACATATGACCTCTCCAACTCGAAGACGCTGGCCCCACGCTCGACAGCGTCCAAGCAGCGCGTCGTCCGCCTCACGCTGCCTGACGTCGTTTTCAGTCACACCGTCGTCGCCAAGTACCGACCCGTCGCCTACCTCAAGGCGCGCCTCCGCAACATCAGCAAGATGACGCTGTTGCGCGGGCCCACCGGCCTGACCCTCGACGGCGCCTTCATGGGCCGCACCAACCTGCCGCGGTGCAGCCCTGGCGACTCGTTCAGCCTGTCGCTCGGCGTCGATCCCGCCGTCAAGGTCCTGTACCCGAAGCCCGAGGTCCGCCGCGGCACCACGGGCATCTTCAAGGTCGAGAACAGCGGCGTCTACACGCGCGCCATCACCCTCATCAACACGCGCAGCTCGACCGGCGGCGGCAAGGCCATCAGGCTGCTCGTGCACGACCAGATGCCGTGTCGGAGGACGAGCGTCTCAAGGTCGAGATCCTGCAGCCGAAGGGTCTCTCCGTCGGCAGCGGTGGCGTCGGCGCCGGCGCGCCTACGCGCGATGGCAAGGAGGACAGGGACTGGGGCACCGCTGTGGCGTCGCTCAAGAAGGAGGGCGAAGTCAGCTGGGATGTCAGCCTCAAGGCCGGTCGCGGCGTCCGACTCGGCCTGGAGTATGTCGTTGCGCTACCGGGGGGTGAGCACGCCGTGCAGTGTCAGGACGTCGGCAAGACGTGGACGCAGATGAACGAGTGAGCGTGGGATGGATTGGCGCCTTCAGTCGATGATGGGTTGGCTGCATACGTAGATAGAATGAAACAGAATGATACCCTTAGCCGCGTTTGGTGTGCATGAATAGTAATCTCACATGCAGTCTAGCAGCTCTGTCGAAATACGTGGTCCCCGATACGTAAATCTCCTGTGAGGAATCCGAGCTGCAACGAGGAGACAAAGCGTAGCCAAGGCCAAGTCTGCTGGATGAGGAATAGACAATTGAACACTTTAAATCTTGCTCATTCACAGAGTATTGCCGGCCTGTTCCAATATCTGAATAGATTCTGTTTACTCTGTAGGACCCTAATGAGTGCCTTTCTACCAAGAGGCTGCTGCCCAGGGAGACATCCCGATGAAAGCTTCCCCTTTCTTGACCACGCAATTGTTGCTAATACTATCAAGCACATCTCACGGCCGGAAGTTATGGAAAGTCCCACATCAAAACTACGTTGTCTCTTGACTATCCACTGAAGGCCGCGTGCTCATCTTCATAGGCGCTCGAGTGCCCCGATCTCATCCCCTGATCTCATCCCCTTGATTCTCGACAACTTCACCCGAAAGGATCTACCCCGTCCTGACGTCTCATCTCTGGCCCCATTAAGCCCCCTCACCGCCCGTTCTCATGAAAATGTTGGACGGCTTCTTCCAGTCCTTGAACTCGTCGCTCACGCCGTAGTCAATTTCAGGCCCCTGCTGCCGGAACCCAAGCTTCACATAGGCCCCGCGTCCCATGGCCGACGCCTCCGTCAGCGCCTCGAGACCTCCCCTCCTCTCTGCCTCCTCAAGCCCCCACCGCACGAGCTTTCTGCGCGAATGCCCCTCCGCTGGAAACCCCATCTCGAAGGGGCCACAAAGTCCCAGCAA